ACGTATAGGAACGGTAAACAAGTCACTTAAAAATATATTCAAATACCAGGCAAAGCCCACTGAGCTATGAGCTTATTTTTCAGAAGCGACCTGGCCACACATGATAGCTCAACAAAGTGGCGTGTCATGTGGAAATTTATTGCAGCAAAGTAATCTCAGTGTTGCCATTTGGACTGTTTTATGAAAGGGGGCATTGTGAGCAAATTACTCCCGTGGAAATGTGACACAAGCATTCACGACCGCACTGTCAAACGTGGTGTCCTGCTTTACCGACAGCGATTATTATTGTGACGGTGGCATGAGGATTTCATATTTGGGGTACCATCTGGCTGCCACATGGCATCACCAATCGGTTACTACTGATAGGTGTAAAGTATTAATTGGCTGATGTATACTGGACACACGTAGGCCGTTTGTCACTCCACTGCTGAATAATGGATACTATCTCCCGACGTCACTCAGGCAGTGAGGGTTTTGTGACCATACTTCACCATGCTGGTCAGTGCGCTTTTGGTGCAGAAGAGCGGTAGTGTGGTGGTTAGCGCACTGTGCCACGACCCGGGTTCGATTCCTGCTCACGGCTAACACCAGTGACGATTATCTGAACTGGTCCTGGACCTCCCCTATGTCCACTCAGCCTCAAATTGAGTACCTGGTGCGATGTGTAAACATTGCTACTCGAGATATACAGGTGGTCGGGCGTAGTGCTGGTCACCCTCTTGTACCGTGCCGGCCTTCATAGGTGCTCGTTAACAGCACTTGCCCCAACAGTCTGTTAAGACTATTCGGGGGATCTTTGTCTTTGGTGCAGAAGAACAATGGAAAAAAAATTGCACTGCCCTCTAGTGGTGAATGGTATGAATAGTATTCACCACCCCGAGCACTATCCAAGCAAGAATCCTGCTTAGCTTCTTGAGAATGACGTGATTGGGCACATTATAGGTGAATCGGTCATAATGTCCATTTATTTGGCAGCAGCGTTAGCATACAGTTTGTCACGTGTAAATGAAATGGAGGTATTTTGAACCTGACATGAATTATACATTAAACTCCCGCTTTGGAGGCGAAGGTTAGTGTATCAAGTCAGTTTGTAAAACAACATAACCTGCTGGACTGCCAGATGACCAGGAATTGGCAGTACAGCAATGGGGTTTGTGAACATGTTTTTTTTTTGCAGACCTAACGAGTTGTGTCTTCTGGTATGCTTTGTTTTTCTACGGTTGTTCAACGATAACCGGCAAACTTTCAGAATTGATTAACGATTCAGAAAGCTCGGAACCGAAATTAGTAGGTTTTATAGACATTTTTAGAGATGATGCACTCATTATCACAACTTTCAAATCGCACGGCGGCAGGCCTATGGGGACATATATTGGTGTCAATAAATGGCAAAGGTTCGGCGCTGGAGAAAGTCACTAGAGCTATGCGCTTTTAAATCTAAATTGAAAACTAATTTCTTGAGAACTGCTCTTGGTGTTTAGTTTGTTGTCCTTCCCTGCACCTCCGATTAGCACGGTTGGTAAGCGTATGGTGCAAAAGAAGTTCAACATACGTACACGCTCACACCTCTGCTTTCGGAAGGTCCAGGGAAACTCAGTGGGCATATGGAATATTCTTCCGCACTGATCAGGATATGTTGGAAGAGGTGGGCGTACCCACAATTTACCCCACCACAGAGACGGTGGGATTTAAGAAACTTGCACCATCGTTTCAACTTCTGGCACCATTGTGTCAACTTCTGGCACTATTATACGGTTCTAGCTCCCAGCATTTCTCAGTAAACAGGTAGACATGTTCAGTTTATTTCCGATATTTTTGTCGATACCCAAAACCAGTAACAGTTTTTTATTGATTATTTTCCACGTGGTTTCCAGTAATGCAACCCCCCCCCCCCACCTATTTTAAACAATTAAACACATATTTCATAAATCCGTATACTGTACTGGGATATGTATCACCATATTTGACTATTAAATAGTTTGAACACCGTGTAGTATGCACACATGTTGCAAACATCTTTGACTTTGAAATGTATCGCAACGTCACAAGCGTTAAATTTAGTGCTGAATATTGACCACCGTAAAATGTGGTATGTCAAGGTGCAACGTTTATTGCACTTCCAGCGTGCTTATTCATTGCAGCCTAAAGTGTTGAAAATAAGTTGCATTCTGTGACCTCTCATAGCCTGTGGATGTACTCCATAAGGTAGTTTGTGTACGTGGGTCATGTGTATGGGGGGCGGTGATGCAGTGGTCATGTATGTTGAACTTCTTTCGCACCATACGTTAGCTAACCGTGCTATTCGGAGGTTAACTCGGTGACCGGATTTCACGGCCGCAGTGACGAATATCTGAACCAGTCCTGGGAATTCCCCTAGGTCGACTCGGCCTCAAATGAGTACCTGATGCCATGTGTAAACATTGCCACCAGGGCAGCGTTCTTCACTCATTTTCAGAGGGGCGGGGGGGGGGGGTCACTTTCGTCGATAAGACATCATTAGTGTGAGGGTCGCCACACACATTTGAAACCATTGGGGGTTGGCAGCATGACGATGAGGGATGGTGATGTTTTCACACTTTGTGTATTTGTTGGGGGGCCGCACTAAAGGCCACCGAGGGCCGCCAGTGGCCTGCGGGCCTTGCGATGAAGAACACTGCACTAGGGAGACAAGGGCGGCCGGGTGTAGTGTTGGCCACGAACCCCCACCGTGTGTCAATGCTGGCCTTCGTAGGTGCTCGCTAGCAGCACTTACCCCAACCTATGTTGAGGCTATACAGGGGATATTTGTCTTTGTATCATGCTTACAGCCCTTTGTCCATCCACTGCTGGATGAAACCCCTCAGCACGTGATGGCGGTCTGTTTGATCAGACTTCAATCGTCAGAATGGAATTGTGAAAGTTGTCCAGGACTGAATCAAATATCACTCGCCACTCATGTGAGCCCTGGCCGAGATTAAAACTCTGTTGAAAATGGTGATAATACCGTTACATGGTGCACTATCAAATGTCGGGCCATTCCTGTGAATTTACTCATTTCTTTTTTAACAAACGCATATTAAACATGTTTTGGCTGGCAAAGCAACGTATTTTACATCACTTATCATTGCACTATCGGCGTGTATATGCCGGCTGTTTTCATCTGTCACGTTTGCATGTATCTCCATAAATACACGCGGGTATTCCAGTGATGATCATGTATCACAACCATGTAGGTATAGTGTTACACCGATGTACGCATATCTGTGCACCGTGTAGCACACGTGTGCACAAATACCTGCGCAGACGTGTAGTCTTATTCTCTCCACGACAGTATTTACTGAATGAGGCCATTCGGCCGAAACGTCGAGTTATTTCTTTCGTGCTGAGTGACAGTATAAACCACCTGTTTTTTAATCAGCCAGTTTGCTTCTCGGTTCACTAAAAGCGACCGTCGAAAGCTCATCCTGACTGTGATTACCTGCAATACGTGCATACAATACTGGCACGTCCAGCTTGCTCTGCGTATGGGGGAACAGTGGCGTGGCCAGCAGATTGAGAGCACTGCACGATGATCCTGTATCGCTCCGGATGACCGCTGCAAAGTATGATCTTGAGTTTTGATTAGTGTGCTGATCTTTAAAGGTGCATTGAAAAATGTTGATACTCCTACTGATACTCCTGCTGTTATGGAGTGACTCAGACTGCCAGCTATGGCTGCAAAGTTTGGTGGTACATGTTATGGATATCGTTTATTGTTACATTTGAATCACAGTTCCTATGATCACTGTTACATTGTTTTTATAGCTTTATTTTGGTGATTTCGAAAACTTTTGACTTAGCCATATTTGTTTGTTGTAGTACAGAGTTAGACTGATGACTTTAATCTAAATTGTCTTATGGTTGTTCTTGTTTGACTTGCATCCCACTGGGATTTTTGCACACAGCGTTGATATATGGTGCTTTTTCTGGAAGACTTTGCTGTTTTTTCCTGGATTTTTCTGTTGCGCGTCGTCACTTTAAGATATTTTCTTGTTCATCTTTTTGTTTGTTGCGGTTGCACCCGATTCAAGAGCCGCATGGCTCACAGGGCTATACCTAAGCACGTTCCTTCGGAGTGGGCAGGTAGGAACTTGGTTGGACAGCGCATTCGTGCGATCCGTGTTGGATACCGTAGTCGTGTTGGAGGTTGTAGTATGCACGACAGACAGATAATCCCTGGTAGGCAGTGTGCAACCTGTTGTTCCTACCTGTATAACTGCAACTGAACTGAACCTGAGTTCGATCCCCAGCCACGGCCAATCAACCATCTGTGGCGAGTCACACGAATCCCTACATGCCACCAAACCCGCACTGACCGGCGTGGTGAAGTATGGTTAAATCCCCCCCCCCCCCCCATTACCGACACGGTGTAGAGATTCTAGATTTAAAGTTTTCGTGACTGCAAGGGTCCATACTCTTTGTTTTTTCGGTAAAGTCACGTAGGTATAAAATTAAATAATTTAAATGTTATTTATTTTAATTTTATTTTTTACCTACGTGACTTTACCGAAAAAACCAAAGAGTACGGTGTAGAGAGGTCCACATCCAGCAGTGAACTGACACAATACTGCGCTGTAAATAATAATTATAAACAGTGGCACCACGTGATGGTATGCGAGCATCGTGCATATTCCGTGCAGTGTAACCGACAATTAGTGTCCATGACCTTACAAGTCTCCAAATTAGCGTCTCCACAAGGCATGATTACGCAGCATTGACAAAAGGCTGTACGTAATAATAACTATACATAGATCTATTAATGTGTGCGTACGCTTACTGTGTACAACCCGCAATCAGTGTTCACAACAATGCCTAAAGGCATCCCCCACCAAGTCGTGAATTCGGATGTCGGCCAAAACCGCACTCCTTGCCGATGACAAGGAATCAACAACACGAAATCCAAACAGCCTCCACTCAAAACCCAGGGCTCTCAATCCTCGGAGAGGCACCACCGACACACAAACACACACAAAAAAACCCACCCCCATCACGAATCCACACTGCGGAGAGAGAGAAGCATGCGGAAGAGGGCAGCAGAGGACGTCACAAGTCAGAGTGTGTTTCCGCCACGAAAAAGCTTCGCTTTGTGTGCTGCGGCTATTACAGGGGGGAGGGGAGGTGCTCCACCAAAAAATCCACACAGCGGCTCGCCGCCCTTGCTTCCTTCATCATCAGCAATCACCTCCATCACCTCCTCCCCTTCCACCCATCCCCTAGGGCAGTAGCCGAGGTCCGTCGAGGACGCGAAGCTCGGCAAAGAGTCGGGTTGGTGTGGGCAGGGCAGTCAGGTAGCGAGAGAGAGAGAGACGGGAGGAGGAGGAGGCTTTGTGGAGTGAGTAGTAGGAGGAGTGGTGGTGGTGTTGGTGGTGGTGGGGGTCACACACACAACCACGTCTTGCGTGGTTCATCTCGCGTAGCTGGTGCTGCTTGGGACAGCGCCACTGTGGAGGCGCGTATGGTGGTGGACGCACCGCTGTTTGGAGCGGCATCATCATCTTCATCATCATCTTCATCATCATCATCTTTATCATCACCACCGCCACGATCATCATTAACCCGGCTGGGGTGACACTCACGAGGAGTGCATGCACATGCGCTTGCGCCCATGGCTCTCCACGCGGACGAGGAGAGGCAAGGAATCCAGGCGTACGAGGACGTCCTGGGGAGATACAAAGGTAATGAAAACCAGCGTCGTCGTACAGAAAGACGCCGCTGGTTATTTCTCATTTGCCGTTCTTCCTCCTTCACCGGGCTGGTGTTTAGTCGTGGGAGTGATGGTGAGGTTGTGAGTGTGTGTCTACACGTGTGTGCACACGTAACTACAGTAGTCACACATGGCATTGTGTCTGTGTGCCTTGTATCGATGTGTGTGCGTGTGCACACACACACACAACTACAGCGGTCACACATGGCATTGTGTCTGTGTGCCTTGTATCGATGTGTGTGCACACGTGTGCACACACACACACACAACTACAGCGGTCACACATGGCACTGTGACTGTGCCTTGTTGTATCGGTGTGAGTGTGTGTACACGTGTGCACACACACATCTACAGTAGTCACACATAGCATTGTGTCTGTGTGCCTTGTATCGGTGTGTGTGTACACGTGTGCACACACACATCTACAGTAGTCACATATGGCATTGTGACTGTGTGCCTTGTATCGGTGTGTGTGTACACGTGTGCACACACACATCTACAGTAGTCACATATGGCATTGTGACTGTGTGCCTTGTATCGGTGTGTGTGTACACGTGTGCACACACACATCTACAGTAGTCACACATAGCATTGTGTCTGTGTGCCTTGTATCGGTGTGTGTGTACACGTGTGCACACACACATCTACAGTAGTCACATATGGCATTGTGACTGTGTGCCTTGTATCGGTGTGTGTGTGTACACGTGTGCACACACACATCTACAGTAGTCACACATGGCATTGTGACTGCCTTGTTGTATCGGTGTGTGTGTGTACACGTGTGCACACACACAAACTACAGCCGTCACACATGGCATTGTGTCTGTGTGCGTTGTTGTATCGATGTGTGTGTGTACACGTGCACACACATACAGTAGTCACACATGGCATTGTGTATGTGTGCCTTGTATCGGTGTGTGTGTGTACACGTGTGCACACAAAAACTACAGCAGTCACACATGGCATTGTCTGTGTGCCTTGTATCGGTATGCGTGTGTGTACGCGGTACAAATGTATAATTTCCTCCTTTTTGTCATATAAAGTAGAATGTAATTGACTGGCGTGGTCACATTGATGACATGAAGCTTCCTTTTGAAACGAAACGGAAGCAATCGTAAAGGGAATGTAAGTTACTTTGTAGGGAATGTGTATGGTAATTATTAATCAACTACAGTATAGGTATGCTGCTGCTACTGTTGTAACTTACTCTACGCTCTCAGTAATTTTTTTAAACGCTGTAATTGTGTATATACCGGTTACTGTACACTGTGTTGTACGTGAAATGTATCAACTATTCAACTACGGAACTGTGTAAATAGTAATACGAAGTTGTATACAGTGCCAATTTAACATACAACTAAAGAAAGTATAATGTTTTAAGTTCACCAGCCTCCTATCTGTGGGACCTTCTGACCCAACAGTTGTACAGCAGCATTTGTTTGGGACAGGTTTCCACGTTACGAGTCAAATCAGCGCAGTGTGAGACCTGGATGAGAGTGTACACAGCATGTGATCACTGCTGAGTTCCATTTAGGACCAACTCCCTTGCCGTGTTGTGTAGTACATTGTAGTAGAGTCCTACAGTTTTGCAGGCCAGGACATCCTGCCATCATGAAAAGCTCACACACAGCCAAGGCACTGCTTTGCATATCCAGGGCAGTGTGCCCCTTTCTTCCTGGCCAACATCTGTGCTGAGCTTTAAATGCCAGCCCAGTTTCCTCCACTTTGTTAGTGCACCTTATTGTTTGTAACTCTGCCTCCTCTCGATTGTGCTGGGGAATTGAATATACAGTTTGCAGTAAAAATATATATAATAGTCCCGCACTCAGAAATACTTGGGGTAGAATTTTCCATTCCCATACTCCGAACGTACGAATACAGAAATCACTGTCATGCGTTTTAGCTGAACTTGATGATGAAAACTAACAAAGAGTGTGCACTCCCTTCTATGGCATGGCTACGAAGCGTGACTATGAACAAGAACGATTGAAATACAGTACGACCGATAAGTATACGTGTTTAACTTTTTCTGCACCGTACGTAACTAACTGCGCTCATCAGAGGTCTGGATAAGTGCACCCAAAAGCATGGTGAGATGAGTGTTTGGAGTTACACTGACACAGAAAGAAACACACGGGTAATAGAAAAGGCGTAGCTTAGAGAAAATTCTAATTGGGAAAAAAAAGTAAAGTGGGCTTGGGCAAGACACGGTCTCTAGAAGGGATGATGATGGCCAGTGGTGAAATGTAATGACAGATGAGCAAACAAAGAAATTTTAAATATCCGCAATGACCTTGCACCAGGAGATGGAGCGATGGAATCGGCTCGTTTGCAGGCGTCGAGAAGATTGTTAAATCCAAGAACTCTGAAATATAGCATTGGTTTGGGGAGAAGCCTTCATCCAGCAGTGGCTTGAACGTGGTTGGTGACAATAATGATTAAATGCATAGTACGTGAATGTTATTGGTGTACATAGCAAAAGGTGCAATTTGTCACGTTTGACTCACACAGGTTTGACATTATTGCTTTATGATGAACGTCGCTACATTTCTCCTGCATCTGAAGCCATGCAACACGTGCAGGCTAAAGGAATGAGAAGGTTCATGCAATAGAGATGCAACCCAAGGGGGCAGATTTGGGGAATATTGTGCAGATATCATACTTGCTAAATATATGAAATTTCACCTCCCACCCCGAGGAGCTAAACAAACAATTTGGCACTCTAAATTTCGATTTTAAGCAGGGATTCATCTTATTTGATTATGTTTTATTTTTATTATTTTATTATTTCCCTTCTACGTGACTTTATCGAAAGAACCAAGAAGATGACTTTGGCACTCGCTTGCACATCCAGAGAAATGCGGCCAAAACAACCGCAGTGCACATCTCGAGATCGCCATAGGTACGATTATTTGAATATGATGACAGGAAAGCAATATTAGTGTTATGATCATTCGCCGTTTCCTCCCTTGCTGCCGTTAGGCATGCCACTTTACCCAAAGCAGAAAGTGCCCTAATATGGAAGGCAGCTCTACATTTTTGTGACGCGATCCTTGCCAAGGAGTTTGAGTCATTAGGTAGGATTCTAGAGGATTTGCGGTCCGTATCAAGTCTAGCGGTTAAACACGTGGAGTATGAGCAGGTGATGTCATTCTGTGATTGGCTGTAACTGCAACTTAGGTGCTGGGGTGGCTATAGAACATTGGGAGGGGCTTTATAATTGTCCTCTAAGCGGATTAAGAAGGCCGACTTAAGTTTGGTTTTATCCTTCAGGTGGTTGGTGTCAAATGCCCTATACACGCTGTACTGTATATGTTAAACGAGTTCTGTATACGTACGACTTGATATACACGTTGTAATATGTCATGTCTTTCGTGATATCCAAAATTGACGGTGGTGCAGTTGCTCACGCGCACTGAGCCACGAACCTCCCAATCTGCGTTCGGTTCCTAGACGCGGGTAATATCAGCGGTGAATATCCGAACTGGTCCTGGGCCTTCCCTTTGGTTGATGGGGCCTTACAATACCTGGTACGACATGTGTGAGACAAAGGCGGCCAGGCATGGTGCTGTCCAGACCCCACCGCCTCATGCGCTGTGCCAGCTGAAATAAGTTCTCATGAGCAGTCCTCGTTCCAACAGTCTGTATGGTTATATTTTGTAGGTTTTGTATGTATATATACATGTCAGTATGTTCGCACAGTAGGCAGCACAGGTGGTGCATCTGCCAGTGTTAGTGCGCCGCACTAACACATAGAAGAAGACCTTGCGCAGGCAGTGATGAAATGGAAACTGACACTATTTGGACACATGTAGGATGGACAGCAACAGGAAAATTGTAAATCTGTTCGGAAAAATGGAAGGAACCGGAAAGAGAGAATTACTTGACGACAGAAGAGATTGGTACCAGAAAGATGTTGCCCGACCTGAGCATATTGGCACAGGACAGAGGAAACTGGAACCAAATGACTAAATGTGTAGTGGACATCTATGGGCTATCTGTCCACAGATCGTGATGATTATAATGAGGCACTGCACTATGTACCCTGGATACCCGAGTTTTGATTCCTTGCCATGGCTAACATCAGTGGCGAGTGATGTTCTGAACTGGTCCTGCCACTCTACCCGACCTCACCAACCCATTCTGACCAGTGCAGTGAAGTATGGACCGACAATGTGGGGAATTCTTCATCCATAAATGGATTGACAAACGGCTTTATAGCTATTTTACGTACACGTGTCCGCGCGTGTAATGTATGTATTTCACAATATGCACAATTTTACCCACTGGTTGATAGTACTTATCTCAAAC